CAAAGTGCTGGGATTACAGGTGTTGTTTTTTTTCCTTATTATACAGACGAAGAAACTGAAACTCAAAAAGCTGTGACTTGGACAAGGCCACTCATTTAGTATGTGGAGTAGCCAAGGTTTGACCCCAGTGTTGGGGAGGGTTGGACCTGAAGAGTTATGCTCTTAACTGTACCTGGTATTGACCCTGGGTTTTTAGTTTGGGTTGGCTGGTGGGTGGTGGCACCATTCTTCAATCCAAGGAAACAGGAGGAGGAAAATGGTTGATTGGTGGTGAAATGACAAACTGAGTTTGGGACAAGTTGGGCTGGAGATGCTGTGGATTATTCTGTGATATCCAGTAGGTATTTGTTAGTCAGGAGTGCAGCTCTGGAAGGACTCTGTTGGAGGGGTAGACTTAGGAGGCACCAACCTACAGACAGTAACGTCATGGGAATGAATGAGACAAGCTAGGAGAAAGCATGAGAGTGAGGAGAGGAAAAGGTCAAGAACAAGACTAGGGGACACTGAAGAAGCAAATGTGTCCTTTTGGATATGGCCATCAGGAAGTCACTGGGAACCTTAGTTTCCTAAATGGTAAGGAGCCCTAAAGGGTAAGGGGAAGAAACAAGAATGCAGTGATTAGGGGAGAGGCAAAATCTGCTATTCTAAGGTCCTCGGCTGTAGAAGGAGGAGATAATATCACTGGAAGAAATCTGTGATCAGGGTCCAGAAGGCTGTCTTTTTCTTTCTTTTAATACATTAAGATGAGAAAGATCTGCAAATGTCATAGGCTAGAGAGATGGAGCCACCAGAAAGGATGAGTTTGATAATGAATGGGAAAGAAGGGTTGGCACCACACCCTTGAGGCAGCTAAAGGGGTGAAGTGAGGGCATCAGGCTTCAGAAAGAATAGGGACTTCTTTTGAGTCCAGAGAAAAGTTAAGTATAGGTTTGAATGCACCTTGAACAGCACGTAGGGGCTTTAAAAAGGTTAAGATTTGGCCAAGGGCTCCCCCCTACTATACTCTGAAATCCACTGTTAACATTTGCTCTGCAGCACTCTTCCCATGGGCTGCTCAAAGCCAATGTCTGATCATGGCAGGAATATAATTGCAGGGAACCCGTTCCCCAGAGACGCAGGACTGCTCTGATTGTTGACCTTGGCTCAAGGGCTCATTGTGGCCTTCCTGAACTTCCCTCAGGCTGTGTCAGCTTTGGATACTTTCACCTGACCTTCCCTCCCTCTCCCCTTCACTGAGAGCCAAACCTGTGTTGCACAGGCTGGCTCTCCCAGCTTTGCTTGGCACTCTCTCTCTCTCTCTATGTATGTATATGTTATATATAATATATAAAAATTATATATTATATATTAAATTATATATAATTATATATATGTAATTATATATATATACATATATTTGGACAGATTCTCACTCTGTGTCTGCCTCCCGGGTTCATGCCATTCTCCTGCCTCAGCCTCCCGGGTAGCTGGGACTACAGGTGCTCACCACCACATTCTGTTGATTTTTTGCATTTTTAGTAGAGATGTGGTTTCACCATGTTAGTCAGGATGGTCTCATCTCCTGACTTCGTAATTCGCCTGCCTCGGCCTCCCAAAGTGCTGGGATTACAGGTGTGAGCCACTGCACCCAGCCTGGCTATTTTATCTCAAAGTAATTTATCTTAATAAAATTCATGCACATTTAGCCCTGTTGGCGTGGGCATCATGGAGGACCCAAACACAGCCCCCTATAGGTGCAAGTGGATAAAACCAGAAAGGCTGAGCCAGGGAATTTCACATCTCTCATTGACAGGTGTTGAGCCCAGGGAGATCATGATGGGTGGTGGTGGGATCCTGGTAACTTTCTCATAGAGATGTTTGTAGCTTACTGTGACAGCCCACCGGGCATGAGGTGGATTTTCAGGAGGTTGAGGCAGATGTGACCACATGAAGATGGGTGTGATTATACACAAACTGAAAAGGATGTGGTGGACAATGGGGGAGGGGTTCTCTCCCAATTATCCAAGAGTAGGATGTGAAGCCAGCTACTGTGAATATGGAGAGTTGGTGGGGTGGGATCCTGCAAAGTGGTTTCAGAAGAACAGTGGGAGAAGGAAGATAAAGCTGGTAACAGCTAAAACGTAAGACTAGTGGGAAAAGGAGATGGTGAAGTAGCAGGGGTGGGAAGCTTCCAAATGACAAAGCTGTAGGCCTTGGGAGACTGGATTTTATACTGTTAAGGGAAACCACCGGATGGTTTTGAGATGAGGCACTACATCATCTGATGTACATCTTAGAAGGACCATTTTGGCCATTGTACAATGTATGAATGGAAACAACAGATCAGTTAAGAGGCAACTGCAATCATTCAGAAAGGAGACAGGGCTTAGAGTAGGGTGAGAACAGTACAGATGATGGTAGATGTGTTAAGTTTCCCTCTGGTAACTTTTCTCCCAGTGAAATATGAAGCAAGAACATCAACTGAGAGAGTGGCTGGATGGGTAGATACGATCATTCCCTTATTTATATATTGGAAGGGTAGGAAAAAAGGTGAAAAAATTAAGTTATAAAAATTTGTTTTTTAAAAAAGCCTGCATTTTTAAGAAGAGGCTTACATTTTTTTACTGCATTCTATTTGGAGCATTTGGAGACTTCTCTTTACTGCATTTTTTTTTTTTTTTTTTTTTTTGAGACGGAGTTTTGCTCTGTCGCCCAGGCTGGAGTGCAGTGGCCGGATCTCAGCTCACTGCAAGCTGCGCCTCCTGGGTTCCCACCATTCTCCTGCCTCAGCCTCCCGAGTAGCTGGGACCACAGGCACCCGCCACCTTGCCCGGCTAGTTTTTTGTATTTTTTAGTAGAGACAGGGTTTCACCGTGTTAGCCAGGATGGTCTCGATCTCCTGACCTCGTGATCCGCCTGCCTTGGCCTCCCAAAGTGCTGGGATTACAGGCTTGAGCCACCGCGCCCGGCCAGCATTTTTTTTTAAATCTTTTTTTTTTTTGAGATGGAGTCTTGCTCTGTCACCAGACTGAAGTGCAGTGGCATGAACTCAGCTCACTGCAACCTCTGCCTCCCAGATTCAAGTGATTCTCATGCCTCAGCCTCCCGAGTAGCTGGGATTACAGGAATGCACTATTATGCCTAATTTTTTGTACATTTAGTAGAGACAGGGCTTCGCCATGTTGGCCAGGCTGGTCTCGAACTCCTGACCTCAGGAAATCTGCCCACCTTGGCCTCCCGAAGCGCTAGGATTACAGGCGTGAGCCACCGGGCCCAGGCTATATTTTTCTTGATAAAAGATCAGCACACCCAAATCCTCCTCCCAATGAAGTAACCACTTCGTTTCTTTCTGAACCCATTAATTTCTGCAATTTTTGTTTGATGCGTCAGTAGTTACTGACACTCTTCTCTGTCCACCAGACTCTCCCCCACCCTCCAGGGTTTTCAGCTCTGTCAAATTCATAATGCATCTCTGTGTGTGTGCATAAGGATATACACTTGTACAAAATGCAGCCCATATGACAAAACCATTTTTACAAATGTTTCCCTTTTAAAACAAAAAGTGTGTCATATATTTTTATTAAATCATAGAAACATTTGTATACAAATTTTTTCACTTTGGGAAAACTGGAATATTAAACAGCTGGGTAACAAAACAGTTGAAAGATACATCTCACTTTAAATAGAAACAAGTTTTAAGTTGTCACATTTATTAAAACAAAAAAAGTTGAAATAATTGGTAACAGGTTGTTGACTTTTTTTAAACCTTTAGACCACAGAAATAATATGTCTTATAAGCCTCAACTTTAAGAATGTTTTTTATTACTTACATCAACCACGAATTTAAAAGATAGTTAACTTGAATTCTGAATACAAAATCAACGTCTTTGTAACTACACAGGCTTTTAGAATACTGTAAATGCTGAATTTCAGGAGATGGTTTCATTCCACAGGACTGATTAAACTTCCTTTCTACAATGGAAAATGTATATAACAGTGGGGAATATATTTCAGAATAAGTTAAATATTAAGACATACAATATGGCAATAATGTCCTACTTTTTTTCCTACCAAGTAAATTCAAAAGTTCATCCTAATCTTAAACATTTATAAAAGGGTGAAGACTGAGGGATCCAGTGATATGGAAAATACACAACAACCATCAGAACCACATTATCTATGGCAGAATATGTACAAATGTTCCTGCCAAAATCATGCTTGCATTCATTCCACAGGTGACCAAAAATAACAGACTTTGAAGTTCACCAAATGAAAATGAGCGGTGATTTTGACATTTAGGTCATCACTTGTTCTGCTTCTGAGCAGAGATCCAGAGGTGACACAGTGCAATATCTGCACTCACACCAAACACCACATAAGCACAAATTAAATATTATCAAAATATTTTTAAATTAAACTGAAGACCATTATTTGAGTGCATGAGATATTTTCCCCTTCGCTTCTTGAATGCATGTTACAGAACAAGAATTAACAAGGAACATGTTAGAGGACAACCCAATCCTCTGAGAACTCCCTGGGGTAACATATGAGACCTTTGGCGCAGGGCTGAGGGGAGGGACAATTATCCACTCCAAATACAGGGATGGTTTCAAAAAGTCAGTCTTCCAAACTCAGGTCTGGATTTCAAACTAATTGAAGAAGGAACTGAAAATGCTATCTTTGGGACTGGTGAGTCTTCCTCCCCAGGACACTTCTTATCCAAGACCCTTAACACTGCAAGCCTCATTTAAAGCCACCCCCAGGTACTGGGCCCACTGGTGTCAATATGCAGACCTGGATCTGTCCCAGGGAACATGTAAACAAATCTGGGAAAAACTGCATTTCTGCAAGTTTTCCTTGTATCAGTGAAAGACCTCTTGGACTAAGAAAAATGATAGGAAGGGCTGCCCCAATGTCATCTTCCCACAAGGTTTGTCTTTTGCTCATTCTGCTGTGGAAAACTATCAAGTCAAATCAAATAATTTTGCCTGACTCACCCCAAATGATATTGAAGAGAAACATTTCTATGGACTACCTTATTCCTAATTATGAAAAAAGCTTATCTGAGCATACTTAGTTTGCCATCTTGTTACTGGAGGTGACTTGGAGATGAGGCCAGGCTTTTGTGCAGGTTGGGATTCTGGCTGTGTCTGTTTCGACTGCGAACAGACGAAAACATGGTGTTGCAGCCTGGTACTTTGCATTTGTGGAGCTGCCGGAGGTGCACAGTTTTGTAGTGGGCCCTAAAGGTCCCTTTGTTACTGTAGGTCTTTTGGCAGAGATGACAGGTTATGGGCAACCCAGAAGGCAGGCTAGCAAGGCTCTGGTCAGCCTTCTCCATCAGGACACAGATGGGGTACTCATCTTCCCCAGGGACAAGGCTTGACCCTTCACAGTTCCCATCACTGTCCTCCATAAGCACAGTGCCTTCCTCACTCACCCCGTCAGAGTCCCAGGAAGAATGGCTGCTACTCTCTGACTTCATGCTTGAGGTAGTGCTCAAATCCAGGATGGTGCCCTCGCTCAAGGGGCCAGAGTTGTAGCTCTCCAGGTTGGCACTGTGGACTTGGGTTATTGGGTAAACCAGACTGCCCATTCGACTTGCTCCTTTGAAGATGACAGATGTCTGGGAGGCTTGCTGTGTAAAAGCCACATCCTGATAGGCTTCCTTAGCCACATCTTTCAGAAGGTAAGCTGTACGGAAATGATCTTCACTGCTCTCCAGTGTTTCTTGGCTCAATGCTTTTTGGTGGAGGTTTAGGTTTGAGCTGTGTCTACAAGAGTGAAAAGATGGTTAGTAATGGGTTGGGTTGTTTTAGAAACAGCCATCATTCTGAGTGGAGAGATTTGGTAGATACTAGGAAAAACGTGTGGTATGGGAGCACCGATGATAAGGGGGTAGGCCCCCATGGGATGTAACACCTGTCTAGTGGATACAGGCCCACTGTTGTTCACTGCTTGTCAGAAGTTAGTGTTCACCAAGAAAGTCGACAGTCTGGAAACTGTGTAGTCCTGATTTCCACTATCTGTTTGATATACTTTCTGTACCTTATGTACTTTCTATACATGAGCTCACTGTTTCAGAGCTGCTGGTTTGACATACCCCTTCTTCCAGGAAGCTTTCCTTAACTTCTCATGGTGCCCTCCCATGTGCCCACAGCAGCACTTCCCTCACTGTAGAAGTCATCACATTCAACTGTAATTGCCTGTTTCTGGTCTCTCTCCCAGAATGGCTAGACTACATCAACTAGATCAGTTTAACAGGGACACTGGAACCAGGAGATCCCAGGAGAAAACTGGTCACAAACTATAAGGAACTAAGAAGAGGACTTTATTTCAATGAAATCAGGAAATATTACCTTCTGGGGCTGCACTGTCCAATGATAGCCACTAGCCATATATGGATACTGAACACCTGAAAAATGGCTAGTACCATATGTTGAAAGGATATTTTGAATATACTCAAGTTAAATGTTATTAAATTTTATTGCATCTGGTCTCTTTACTTTTTTACAGTGGCTATTAGAATATTTAAAATTTCATATGAAGCTTGCATCGTATTTCTATTGGATAGCACTCGTCTAGAGCACTGACATACACTTCATCCCAAAAGTTCTACAAGTGTGGGTGAGAATCCGATTGGCTATAATTGTGTGTGTATGTAGTTTAGTTCATATTTGTAATGTTTCACTATCCTATACCAGACAGAAGTTTTGCAAATGCAGCAGAATAAGCATACCACCAATCTTCTACCCAATGATTACTCTCGAAGGACAGATAATGAGTATCCATTATGACACACACCTTTTAGTCATGTTATCATTTGGAAGTAGCTTGTAAATCAATGTTGGTCTTCCTCAGAAATCCTCTGCTAACTTTTGACAAGCAAAAACAGTCCTTACCAAGGGGGTTACAATCTTAAAGGTGATGAGAGAATTATTCCAAATAGAGAAAATACTCCCCCAATACATATCAGAATTTATGGCAGAGTCAAGTTGGGAAAACACCTTCACCAAAATAACTAAGAATTGAACTTTCTAAATCCCCGAAGACATGTGTGTGGGAAGCTTTATAAAATGTACAAAATCTACTGTTCAACTTCCATCTTCTATTCCCTTACACATATTTTCTGGACATAATCAGAATTATACTCCCAGATCACCCACTTTGCAAGCAGCCCTTCTTAACTCCAACTCTGCCCTGTGATTATGTCAGCATTCTGGGTTGAAGAGGCTGGTACGTGTCGGCAGAAAACCAGACACTGGGTTGATATACAGGTTCCAGTAAATACAAGTGGTTAAAAAGGAAGACAATCACTTTTATTGGAACCTTGTAAAGAAAGGTCCTTACCGGAACAAAGCAAACCTCTGGGCCTCATACTCAACTCCTGAGTATTCCATGCACACTAATGGCTAACTTGTGGGTTATCTCACTCCTCTCAAGCCTTAGTGGGTTAGATACATTTCCTGAGGTGCCATGTCCCGAGACAAGTAACTACAACAATTGTAAAAACCCTCTGGATCATGTACCAGGCTTTGGTTTCTAGGACTCTGCTAATCCTGTACTCACTGCCCATGTCTCCATCTCTTCCCTTCAACCCTACAACCTCTACATCTCTCCTCCAACTCTTCCTCTTGGCTTCTATTTTCATTAGTTCAGACCAGTGATTCTCAAAATGTGTTCTGAGCACCCCTAGTGATCCTGAGGCCTTTTCGGGGGGTTCCTGAAGTCAGAGTTTCATAATACTAAGATATTATTTGCCGTTTTCACCTTGTCTCATGAGTGCACAGTGGAGTTTTTCAGAGGCTACGTGACATGATTTTGCAACAGAACATATGCAGAAGCAGATATGAGAATCTAGCTGTCTTCTATGAAGTCAGACAATGAGATTTACAAAAATGTAAAACAAAGTCACTCATCTCACTAAATTTTTGCTTTGGAAAATGTAGTTTTTTTTCATAAACATGTTAATATATAAAGTTTTACAATTAAAAAATTTTTAATTTCTAATATGATAAATTTTGATAGATATAACCCAAATAAAGAAAAGCTCTTGAGTAACCTTAGGTTTTAAGTATTTGTAAAGGCGTTATAAGACCAAAACGTTTTAGTTACTGGTGTAGACATATCCCTTCTTCCAGGAAGCTTTCCTTAACTTCTCAAGGTGCCCTCCCATGTGCCCACATCAGCCTACATTTCCTTCACTCACTGCAGAAGTAATCACATTCAACTGTAATTACCTGTTTCTGGTCTGTCTCCTACACTACAGAAGGCCTCTGTGGGCAGGGATTATGTCCCCAACACCTAACATAGACATTTCTTAATATTCACTGGGTAAATAGGCATCCAGGGTACTGTCCCAGTCCCTTCCTGATGGGTCTTGGTAACTGTTGCTGGCAGTAGCAGTGGCTCAAAGAGAACTTAGGTGTCCCTACAGGAATGTGGTTCTCAATCTCTGACTGAGAGAAATGGTGTTAGGTCTGGACCTGCCCACAAAGTCAAATTTAAAATACTGTAACTTAAATCATAGATTCTAGGTAAAATGCATTTCAAGCTCTAGACTAATTCGTGGTTTTAATTTATAATGCAAGATGCTTTCCTGTTGTGGTGGGGGAAGGCTTGGATCTATTAGTACAAATAGGTCAGAACATAAGGAAATACTAAATCTATGAAAAAATAAGTATCAAATGAAAAAGTATCTTGAATCCAATATGCCTTCTAATTTAGTAGATATTGTAGGATAGAACAGTATCATAAATATCAAAGATAATATGACCAACATGATTGTCTCTTTATAACAACAGCTTATTCACGAACAAACACTCCTCCTCTTGGAGGCTGAAGGAGAAGGACTGGTTCACTAATTAGGGTACCTTGGTGGTTTGGTTCAACATCCTATCAGTAGAAACACTGATTTAATATAAACATTTAACTAGTATCTCCTGTGCTCTATCCTCTTTGCTAAAGACAATGAGTATGTTCTTATGAGCCCTGTCCAGGAATGTGTGTGGGAGTATGTACCTTTTCACCCTCTTAACAAATTAGGCATTACAACTTGGACCAAGTGGTGGTGCTGAACTGCTTCAAGTCAAGCTTGTTTCTGCAAATATAGCATTTTAATATTCAGTGTACCATTTAGCATTTATCATATTCCATTTCATCGATAGGCAGCTGATCTTTTCCATAAGCCTCCTGGGGCCATCTTCTGGTATGCTTGCTCTTCCAATTTATAGGCTGGGGAGGAAGGTGACCTGAAGAGTGGTTAAGTGACTCAAGTTCATGAAGAAAAGCACAAGCAAGACAGTAACACCAGTGCTATCCCCACAGTGATGAGATACGCTCTATAGCGGGGGTCTTTGTAAACAGTTTGCCTCTATGTGTGTCATGAAAACTCAGGATCTTTCAACCAGAAATCACAGTCCCTGAAACAACCTGCCAACTACCTTTATTCTTTTATCTTAATAATTAAAAAACTTTCGATCAAGCAGTGATTCTTCCTTTAAAATGTAGCTTGGTAACTAGAAATAAAGGAAAATATTTTATTCTATGGATTTCATATTATCAAATGAAAATGAGTCAAGTTTTGGGATGCTATCGTGGTAATTTAAAAAGCTCCCTTCTCACTTTTATTCAAGTAGTTACGCTTTACTCAACCTGCTAATGTGACAACTAGTTCATGATTTTTTTCTTTTTTTTCTTGTTTGAGATGCAGTCTCACTCTATCACTAGGCTGGAGTGCAGTGGTGCGATCTCAGCTCACTGCAATCTCCGCCTCTTGGGTTCAAGTGATTCTCCTGCCTCAGCCTCCCCAGTGGCTGGAACATGACTACAGGAACACACCACCACACCCAGCTAATTTTTGTATTTTTTAGTGGAGATGGGGTTTCACCATGTTGGCCAGGATGGTCTCGATCTCTTGACCTCGTGATCTGCCTGCCTTGGCCCCCTAAAGTGCTGGGATTACAGGCATGAGCCACTGCGCCTGGCCGCAGTTCACGATTTCTTATCCCACACCCTTGGGGCCAGATGTGTTTCTGAGTTCAGAATTTCTCAGACTTCAGACAGGCAGAATGATGCATATAATGAAACACTGTTAATGCCTTATAATAAATCCATTACTATCTGTACTATATATATATATATTTATAAATCCACACAAAAGGAGATTAAAGAAGATTACAAATAACCTCACATCACTCCAGGTCAGGTTTTGCAGCCAAATTAGGTTAGGTTTTTGGAAGTAAAAATTCATGAATGTTGAAATATGAAAATTCATAGAACGGTTTATCAAACTGTAGCCCCCAGAATAGTAACACCAGCATCATCTGGGAACTTGTATTCATGAATGTTGAAATACGAAAATTCATACAACACTGTTTCTCAAACTGTGGCCCCCAGAATAGTAACATCAGCATCACCTGGGGACTTGTTAAAAATGCCAACTCTCAGGCCTCACCCTAGACCTAATGAAGTGGAAATTCTAGGGTAGGGCCCATAAGTCTGTGTTTTAACAATTCTCCAGGTGATTCTGATGCATGTTAAACTTTAAGAGCCACTGCCTTAGAAAACATGATTGCCTACAGATGCCTTACCTGTCTCTGCTCCTGCGGGAGGGAAAGGTAGCATTACAGCCTTCCACTGTGCATGTGTGCATTTCTTTGACATGCATATTCTTATGATGCATTTTCACACTGCAAGCATTTTTAAAGGTCTTCTTGCAGATGTCACACTGGAAGCGATTTTCTTCTATCTGCCTTGCTAATGCATGTTGACCCATGTGCTCCAGTTCTTTAGAATCTTCAAGACAAGGAAAAGCCATTCCCCTGTTGGACAAAGCACTGAAGAGTCCCCCGGTCAGCAGGCGCTGCTGCAGTTCCATGTAGTCAGAAAAAGGAACTTGGGGCTCCATCCCAGGTGTGAAGTAGTGTTCATGGCCACCATCCTCGACCTCTCTTGGCACCATAATCAACGCTGGTGTCTGCTCAGTCTCCCTCTCTGAATTGTGTGTGGCCTGCTCAGGGGTTCGGCTGATGGCTCCACTGGACTCAATCACTGATTCACGATGGCAGGGCCTCTCTCCTTCAGGGAGAGGCTTCCCTAAGCTTCCTGACTGTACGTGCTGCTCCTCAGATACTCTGTATGACTGAGGACTGCAGGCCTCCTGCTCATCTTCACTGACCACCTGTAGGGGCATGTCTTCATCTGAGCTGAGGTTATGTCTTTTCTCATTAGCTATTTCCACAGCTTCTTTCTCTATTTTGATAGGCATACTGGACTTCCTGGATTTCTTCTTGGGAAGGGCATCAAATGGCATTTCATTTGAAACGAGCTGTTCTGGGATTGAAGAGGACAACAGCGGGAGGGAAGGCAGTATCCCAGGCGTGTTTGCTACCTCGGCAGGTGTGGCTGGACTGCGGTAGAAAGGAAGGACTGGCTGGACTGTCTTTAGGTTGGGAAAAAGCACACCATTTTGCCCAATGTTTGGGTAGGCTGGCTGGCCTTTGGAATCCTCTCCTGAACCAGGGTAGCTGGGAGGAGGCCTACAGTCTGGGGACGTCACTGTGAAACCTGGGCACTTGTAGTTCTCAGAGCTGGCCAGGTTCAGGCTGTTCCTGAGGTCTTTGTCCCGGTTATTTCTGTTCATTGGCATGTGCAGCCGAGGGTTGGGGTTGGCGCTATGGCGATTCCGGCTCCTTAGGGAGCTGAACACCATGTTACACCCTTCGATGGTGCACTTATGCTTGATCTTCAGGTGGACGGCATTGTAGTGGATTTTGAGGGTGCCTTTGTCATAGAACGTCTTCTCACATGCGGTGCAGAACACTCGGCCCTTCTTTGTACCAAGGCTATTCCTCTCAGGCTTCACTTTGGCCTCAGGGGATAACTGTGTCCTTTCAAACTTAGTGACAATGTTATATGATCTGGAGTCACTTAAATGGGTGCTGTCTTCTTTTTTAGTAATAGCATCTGGACAGTTTAAACACTGATCTTTTTCAACCTGAAATGGTGTGGAACTGGAAGTTAAGAAGCTGCTGTTAGGGAAGGGCCCATGGACTTCCTGTCTGGGGTCCTGACTTTGGTCATGACCCTGCTCCAACATATATTGTTCGGGCAGTGACCCTATCAGTGCAGGAGGCAGAGGGTTGAAGAACTGGAAAGGCAGCATGAAAGTCATGTTGCTTATGAGGTTCTCAAAGGGGTGTATACTGCTGGGGTTTCCTTTGTCCACAGGAGTGGGGAGGCTAGAATTCCTGTGGCTGCAGCTCTCAATGAAAGCCCTGATATCTACATTTGCTGTGGAAGGTGGTATGATAATGGATTGCTCTTCTCTCTCTTGAATTGCCATGAGTTCAACTATAGATTTAGTCTCTCCAAAACGAAGGAACTGCTGCAAGGTGGCCACTTCTTCCTCACTGGTCATGATGCTCCAGTGATCCAACACCTTTCCTGATGCATCCTAAACCCAAACCAGATGTTAGAAATGTGATTAATTTACAACTCTTTACCCTTTCCTCTAAAAATGTAGTCCACTAGACTATGGGATACTTTTGTGCATATAAGGAAAAGATGAACACAGAGCTTTGGAGAATTTAGTCCCTGCTTACCCTACTCTCCCAGGTCAGAAGCTTTGTGCAGACCATAAGCTGCACAAATATTAGCAGTACTCCTACAATTGGTGCAAAAGAGACAAATAAAATCACATTACTCAAGCTGAAGTCAGGGAAATGTAGTGATTATTTTTCACCTCATTTCAGACCAATTGCTTGTTTTGCATTAGATGTAATAATTTTCCCTACTAAAATTAAAATATGTATCATTTGAACAATAGTAACTTCTTTATCTAAAGAGGATAGATGGAACAATCAGGCCGAGATACAGCTCAAGTATTCATTTGCTGCAAGTTTAATAATCTTCCTAAGCAACTAACATCAGAAAACAAATGAACTTGTATTGATCTATTGCGCACGTTCACAAAGCACAGCTGTAATTACACTGGAGTGTTGGAGATCTTTCAAACTCTAGCAAGGCCTAACTTTCCCCAAAACTACAATAAATATTTTATCACAGAACATGTATTTGATGGCCTACTGAGATTTTTCACAGTGCATGTAAGAGTTTTGAAGATGATAAAGAATGTAACATCATAAATTTTTCATGCACTAGAGGTTCAAGGTAATTGATTCCATATTTTTAATCCTAACACTAGAAAGCAAGATTATTAGGATGATTAAATATTGATCTATGTCATAACATAAGATCATAATGCTACTCTACATAAACAGTTGTTTCTAGTCTGCTGGGGGTCCTGCACTAGAGGTGAGCAAGCGTTTTTACAGGGAAAGATTATGGTCGTTTGAGTTAAAAAGAAGTGAGTACAAATTCTGGGTCTGCCACATACTAGTGAAATGACTTTCAGCATGATTTTGAGGCACTCTGAGCCTCTAGTTTTTTGACTGGAAAATGGGGATAATATGCCTAACGCTTAAGATTATTGGGAAAGGATCTAGGTCTATAAAATTGTTTTTAGTGTTCATTTTAATTACATGGCCTACCTTAGTAAGACTGACATCTATGCTGGTCTTGGAAATATGTTTGCCTCCCATTTCATTGAAATCTTTACCAAACTTTAACATTTTCTAGTGTAATGGCAAGAAAATACAATGCTGTAGCTGTTTCATATCTTAAAGGAATGATGCTTCATCTCAGGAATCATGTTCTTTGCTTCTAAAAACACCTTGACAGCCTCTTTGGAAATGAAACATGAAGCCTACACACTCAGCATGATCTGGGAACAGAGGTAAACTACTCTGCAAAATAAAGAGAACAGAGAGGATGAAGGGCTTGGAATGTTGGAGAAAAGAAGAGAATGTATGAAGATGCCAAAAGAAAACTGGGGTGTGGGGAGGGAAGGAAGGAAGGAGGGAAGGAGATGTATATACACACACACACACACACACGTATATATATATATAGAGAGAGAGAGATTGAGAATGAGCAAATGCATACATGAACACAGAAATACCATAAAAAATAGAGCCTAGGAAGGAAGAACATCAGTGAGATGGCAGAAGGCTTTAAAGCACAGGAAGGTGTGCTATGAAATTATAAGTTGTTTGCTTTGTGATTCTGTAAGTTCCCTTTCTCAATTCCAAACTCTCAGTAAAATCTGATACAGACAGCATCTTGTGTCAGTAACTAGTTTGGGACTAATGAAAGACATGGAGGCAGCACCTGAAATGGGGCAAATGGTTTATTGTTGAAAAGGTAGTTTAGTAAAAGCCAAATCAGAGGATATGTAATGCTCCTAAAGCTTCACAGACACCTTGGACTTCCCCCAAGAACATGAGGTAGGGGCTTAGGCCATTAGAAAAGAAGTATTAAAGGGAAAGATAGTCACCAAGGGCTGTAGCATTGGGAGGTAACTGGGTTACGTCAGTTATATGGGCACAGAAAACACCGTAGGAGGACAATGGTCATGGTTACTGTACCTGCAGCACGTATCCACGGATGTAATCCTGAAGTGTCCAGTCCAAGGCATGGAGGATCTGGAGAACCTCATCTTGCTTCAACACACTGAAGAGCCGGTCCAGTAGGATTTTTAGGCGAACGGGGATGGCCTGAGTCCCATAGAGCATGAGGCTACTAATATCAAACACCACATTGGACTGGACAATCTCCACCTGGCTTGTTGGATACATGGAGGGGATCCTGAGCTTACTTAGAGCTGAAAGATCAAATTGAGGAAATGTCATTTAGAAAAGTTCTAATTGTAAGAGAAACACTGCAAAAAAAGTAGGTTAGGACTAATTCTTGGTTATTTGTTCCACAGAAAATACATGAATATACAAATGATTAAATACCTTAATAGCTATGAAGCTTCAAATTATTTACAGGAACTTCTAAAATAAATGAACTAGCTTGGGACTTTTCTCCCTTTCTCGTGGCCTTGCTAAGGAGAGAAATAGTCACCAACAAGGAAGGAATAAGGAAAAGGGGTAAAAACTGAGGTGGCAGGTGCATAATCAAGAGGATGGATAATCAGGAAGCATAGAGTCTGGGGGCAAATAATCTGGGTTTGGGAATCTGAAAGATCTGGGTTTGAGTATTAGTTGTGGGGCTTTATATTTTCCAGTTGTGGGGCTTGACATATTAACCTCCTGAAGGCCACGCTGTCCAGTGTAATAGCCACCATTCACATATGGCTATTTACATTTAGATTAAATTAAAATTAAATAAAATTTACACTAGTTGCATTTCAAGTACTCAGTAGCCATAAGTGACTACTGTAGAGTTGTCAGATTTGGCAAATAAAAAAAGATGCCCAGTTAAATCCAAATGTAAATTTGAGATAAACAATGAATGGGTGGGATATACATATACTAAAAATATTCATTGGAATATACCTAGGTTAAAATATGATCATCGTTTATCTGAAATTTAAATTTAACTGAGCATTCTGTATTTTATCTGGCAACCCTAGTCTAGAGGCTGTATTAGATAGAACAGAACATTTCTATCATTACAGAATGATAGCACTGAAGCACTAGTTTCTACATCTTTAGATTGAGGTTAATAAGACACTTCCCATATAGAGTAGTTAAGGTTCAAGACTCTTTGAATCTTAGCCTGTTACCTGGGACATGCTAGTAACTTACTAGTTTACTAGTTAGTTGTCATTCTTAAGATATGAAATCAGTTCCTGAATAACTCTATAACACTACAGGCCAAGAGAGGGTGAAAAATAAAGTTACCGTGGGCCACCCATCCATGCTTGCATTGGTCACACTGACGGTGGTTTATTTTCCCGGGTTTGAAACTTTGGCAACTACAGTTCAGAGTACAGCTGATAGCCTTAAAAAGAGAAGAACACAGGTATGTGGAGCATATAAGTGATGCGTGAAACATTCATCGTATTTCAAACAAAACATATGCCTCCATTCGGCAGCATTTATTGAGCAATATGTGCCCACCGTGTGCCAGGCCCAGAGGTGTACATTGTACTCTGGAAAGATGAGCAGCCAGCCCTGCACTTGGAGACCGTGAACACATTACACAGATATTCCACATTCAAGAATGAGCTTAAACATCAGAACTTTTTATAGAAAAGATTATGGTTTAGAATGAATTATCCTGCACTGTTATTAAGGTCATAGAAAGGGTAAACATATTTTCACCAAATTTCTAAGTTGACCAAAGCAGCAACCCTGGAAAGTATACAGAAGCTGTCTTGGAACAAGTAAAAGGGAGAATGACCTGAACTGAGAATAATCTACATATAAAATTTATTTTCCCCCACCCACAGATATGGTAGAAGCTGAAAATACAAATAAGATTTGAGAACATGTAATAGCTGACTATACTGAAGATGATTCCCTGACATCACTCACTGAACTACGTGACTGTCAGAGACAGACACAGGCTGAACAAGCCTTGCATCAACGCCCCTTGCATGTTATGGTGCCATGTTTTATGTGGGGGTACAGAGTGTACAAAAATGTAGCTGAAATTGAAAATAGAGAGGTACATGTCTAACAAAGTTCTAGTACTAAAAACAAAGCTTCGTCTGGGCGTGGTGGCTCATGCCTGTAATCCCAGCACTTTGGGAGGCCGAGGTGGGTGGATCATGAGGTCAGGAGTTCAAGGCCAGCCTGGCCAGTATGGTGAAACCCTGTCTCTACCAAAAATACAAAACTTAGCCGGGCGTGGTGGCGCATGCCTGTAGTCCCAGCTACTCGGGAGGCTGAGGCAGAAGAATCACTTAAACCCAGAAGGCCAAGGTTGCAGTGAGCCGAGATCATGCCACTGCACTCTGGCCTGGGCGACAGAGTGAGACTCCCTCTCAAAACAACAACAACAACAACAACAAAACCCACAAAGCTTCACATACATTTTTAAGATGAGTTCCTCAAAGGAGATACAGTCCTGAAGAATATAATCTATTATTAAACAGAAAAAGCCCTCGAAGCAGCTTTGTCAGTGAGGTTTCTGGGAAGAGCTGCTGGGTAGAATTTGTATGATTCACAAGAGTCTTGAAACTGGGAAGTGTGTGTGTGTGTGTGTGCACGCGCGCAAGAGCATCTGGAGGAGGGATAAAAAAGCCTTACAATTAAGGGTTTAAACCTCTAATCTGCCAAACAACGGACTATGTGGCCTGCATTGGGGAGAGGGAAGGGAGAATCTAGCTGAAGACTTGGGAAATTCATTTTAAGGAGTATATGATCAGTCTGTACTTAAAAATTGGTTGCTGGTGGGATTGTAAAATCGTACGGCCACTTTGGAAAACATTCTGGCAGTTCCTCAAAAAGTTAAACATAGAGTTACTGTACGACCCAGAAATTCACTCCTAGGTATATACCCAAAATAACCAAAAACATATGTCCACAAAAACTTGTATATGAATGTTCATAGCAGCATTATTCACAATAGCCAAAAAGTAGAAACAACCCCAACATCCATCAACTGATGAACAGATAAACAAAATGTGATATATCCACTCACAATTGGGTACTATTGAACAATAAAAAGTAATGAAATACTAATACACGGTGCAACATGGATGAACTTTGAAAATATATGTGCTAAGTGAGAGAAGTCAGGCACCAAAGTCATGGATTGTATGATTCCATTTACATGAAATGTCAAGAACAGTCCAATTGATAAAGGCAGAAACCAGATTAGTAGTTACCTGGGGCTGTGGAGAGTGGGGTATGGATAAGAAGTGACTGCTAGTGGGTAGTAGGAGAGAGTGTGTTCTTGTTTGGTTTGTTTCCATCTTTGAGAAAAACAGCTTTATTGAGATACAATTCACACATATATAACTCACCTGTTAAAAGTGTACAATTCAATGATTTTTAGCATATTAACAGAGTTATGCAACCATCATCACAATCTAATTTTGGAACATTTTCATCTTCCCCAAAAGGAACATGTACAAGAATATGGTAGACACATGTTTTCATTTCTCTTGGGTATAGTCCTAAGAAGAGAACTACTGGATTGCACAGTAACTCGTTTAACTTTTTAACAAACTGCCAAACTTTTCCAAAGCAGCTGTATCATTTTACATTCTCACCAGCAACATATGAGGGTTCCAATTTCTCCACATCCTCAACACTTGTTATTGTCTTTTTGATTGGAGCCATCCTAGTGACTGTGGGTGGGATCTCATTATGGTTTTGATTTGCATTCCCCTGATGGCGAATGGGGCTATGGTGCTCAGCATCTTTTCATGTGTTTATTGTCCATTTGTATGACTTCCCTGGAAACATGTCTCTTCAGATCTTTTGCCTATTTTTAAATTGGGTTGTTTGCCTTTTTCATATTGAGTTATACAAGACCTTTATATATTTTAGATACACATGCATTACCAGATACATGATTTGCATACACTTTCTCCCATCCTTGGGTTATCTTCGCTTTCTCGATGGTATCCCTTGAAACACAGAAGTTTCAAATTTTGACCTCAGTTTCTTTTTGAAGTGATGAAAATGTTCTAAAATTAGATAGTACTGATAGCTGCACAACTCTGTGAATATACTAAAAGCCACTCGACTGTACAATCTATAAGTTAATTTTATGGTATGTCAATTACATCTCAATAAAAAATGTTATTAAAACACAGACTGGGCGCAGTGGCTCATGCCTATAATCCTAGCATTCTGGGAGGCCGAGGTGGGCGGATCACCTGAGGTCAGGAGTTCAAGACCAGCCTGGCCAACATTGTGAAACCCTGTCTCTACCAAAAATACAACAATTAGCCAGGTGTGTTGGCATGCACCTGTAGTCCCAGCTACTCAGGAGGCTGAGGCAGGAGAATCACTTGAACTTGGGAGGTAGAGGTTGCAGCCTGGGAAACAGAGCAAGACTCTGCCTCAAAAAACAAAACAAAAAAATGAGTGACCCTGCTTAAATGCAGGTTAAATTTTTCATGATTTGATTGTCTTCTACCATTTATTTTAGACTAGAACGGGTTTGAACACAGCTGCAGCTAGGCATTTTCAGGTGATGCGGAATAGGGCTGTTCTAACTGAGGTGTACAGTAAATAGCAACAGCATTACCTAATCCCTTCAAGAGGCTACCAAAAAACAGGAGATGTGGGAGAAAAGGTTTTGCCCTTGTAAACTGTAGAGTATAATAAAAAGAACTCCATGTGATTACACTGTCTCACTTTAATAATGCATGCATTCTCGAGGGTGATGCTATCATCCCCAAATGAATAAAAATTGGTCTTGGGGGGTGAAAGAATTACTCTATGTATAAATACAGATGTACATACATACACAAACCTATATCGCAATGGTGTGATACTAAAATTTCATTGGAGAGGCACAATTAAGAAACAATGTCTAAAATCTCCTTAGGTGTGGAGGTTAATGGAAAAAAAATCAAGAAACACTGTTCTAATGACAGAAATTATTTTACTTTTTGGTTACAGTTTCTACTTGTATATACATATACAAATGTATTAAATACATGAACAGTTTACATCTATATAAGTATACCTATATACATAATTGTATAGTTACCTTGAATGTAAGTTAAAGGATAAAAGTGAGTGATGGTTGAATTTACATTATACATTGTCAAAACAAAATTCTAAAAGGCACCATTAACTTAGTTTGTAGTACACCTAAAATGTTGTCCAGCACCTCAAATTTGGCTGCAACCCTCTGAACATCAGCTCACAGATGAACCAATTATTGCTACATTCCCAATAGCACCAGTATTAAACCTGTGAAATATTTCACAATCTTGATTCTATAAATATCATTTTACAGAAAATTTTTAAAAGGGAGAAAGGTTCTTATTTTGGATTATACCCCCCAAAATGCCATTCCTTTTGTTAAAATTTTTATGTATTTATTTATTTATTTTTATTTATTTATGTATTTATTTTGAGACAGAGTCTCACTCTATTGCCCAGGCTGGAGTGAGGTGGCACAATCTTGGCTCACTGCAACCTCTGCCTCCCAGGTTCAAGTGATTCTTGTGCCTCAGCCTCCTGAGTAGTTGGTATTACAGGCGTGCACCACCACATCTGGCTTTTTTTTTGAGTGAATGGGGTTTTTTTTTGTATTTTTTAGTAGAGACAGGTTTCGCCATGTTGGCCAGGCTGGTCTCTAACTCCTGACCTTAGATGATCCACCTGCCTCGGCCTCCCAAAGTGCTGGAATTATAGGTGTGAGCCAGTGCACCAGACCCCATTCACTCTTTAAAAACAAGATGCTGGAACTATATGAGTAAATTCACATTTTGCTTATTTGGAAAAATAAAACCTGCTTCAACCAGAAGTAGAGATGTCCTTAAGCACATGCTGCTTCTACTCCCTGAAGACTCTGCTCAAAAGGCTCATGCAACCCAGGAATCTAGGTGACTATCTCAGGTTCAGCACAGCAAAACCACAAAGGGAACAATTCCAAGCACATTTCATAGATCAATACTGAAAGTTATATTTTGCATCTCTTGTCACTTAGGTCAGGTTTTCTCAACTTTGGCACTACTGACATTTTGGCTGGATAATGCTTTGTGGTGGGGGGGCTATTCTGTGCAATGTATGACGTCTGGTCAGCATCCCTGACTGCTACAAACCATATGCCAGTTACACCCCACCCTCCAGTTGTGACCACCAAAAATGTCTCCAGACACTGCCAAATGTCCTTGGGGGGCCTATACCACCCTCATGGGCATTTGGGGCCTATAGTTTTAGTTTGGGGACAATTTTAGCTTTCATTTCAGGACAATTTTAAATAATTTTGTCTATAATTCAATGAATGAATGCAGCTTTATGAGAAATATTCTTGTGGTTCTCCATGAACCCATTTGAATAAGGCTTAACAAACCTCATTAAACA